ATTTTCATCTAATTTAAATGAGCAGCATATCTTATGTAAAAAAAAAAGTACAATTTAACAAAAGAGACAAGGAAATTTAAAACTTACCCAATTATCATGTGCTTTTTTCTCATGGGAAATAATCTGAAAAAGAAAGTAATTAAAATGCCACTGACAATTATTTTTCTTAAGTAAAAAACATTCACAGCTACCACTATGATGTAGCAGACAACCCAAAAATATCCCAAGCATCTCTGAAGAGTAAGCAACATTTTTAAAGCAAATTTTCATGTATGCATAACCTATTTTAAAACAAAAGCTAAATGTAAAGACAATTAAAGTTTTTGTTTGGTAAAATTTTACCTTATGTAATAATCAAAAGGAATTGCCAATTAACATACAACTTGTCTGACTGAATATAAGACCCCACTGTTGATACGAATTTATGTGACGCAATCTACCTTCCCAAAGCAACAGGAGATATGGCAATTTTAATTTTTTTTTTTTTTTTGAGATGGAGTCTCACTCTATCCCCCAGGCTGGAGTGCAATGACGCAATCTCAGCTCACTCCAACCTCTGCCTCTTGAGTTCAAGTGATTCTCTTGCCTCAGCCTCCCAAGAAGCTGGGATTACAGGCATGTGCCACCACCCTCGGCTAATTTTTGTATTTTTTTTTTTTTTAAGTAGAGACAGAGTTTTGCCATGTTGCCCAGGCTGGTCTAGAACACCTGACGTCAAGTGATCTGCCCATCTAGACATCCCAGAGTGCTGGGATTACATGCTAGAGCCACTGCGCCCAGCCAATATGGCAATTTAAAATAAGACTTCTTATCCCAGAATCTTTGGCTCCTTGGAAATGTCCCATAGCCACATGCAACACCTCAAAAGAGGTGTACAACTGGTCAAGTAATTACATTTCTGCAAAATTCAAACAAATCAGAATTATTTTAAATTACACACACACACAGATACACACATACACATATATACCTGCCCTTGATAAGAATGAATAGTTCTCTCCAATTCTTCTTCAAGATCTTTGGCTCGCTTTCTAAATGGAACGAATAATTATTCTACTATTAACATACATAAGAAATGACAGAACTTACTATCTAGTAAAAAAATATTAATTAAAACACCCAGAATGCTCTATTTCAAGTAAAAAATAACTCCAGAACTCCCCATTAAGAAATAATCACCTCTGAGAGGTTCTACAGTATAATTTTTCCTAAACTAATTTTAACATTGATTACAACTTAAGAATACTGCTACTTGAGTTCACCTAAGCCAAAAGTCACACAAGTATTTATATTACACGGTATATTGGTTTTTTCTTTTAAGAAGAATGATCCTAGAAGATTTATTCAAATGTTGGTAGTCTTTTTTTTTCTCTGAGACAGCGTTTCACTCTTGTTGCCCAGGCTAGAGTGCAGGGGTGCAATCTCAGTTCACTGCAACCTCCACCTTCAGGGTTCAAGCGATTCTCCTACCTCAGCCTCCTGCGTAGCTGGGATAGGCGCCCACCACCATGCCCAGTTAATTTTTTGTATTTTTAGTAGAGATGGAGTTTCATCATGTTGGCCAGGCTAGTCTCAAACTCCTGACCTCAGGTGATCCATCTACCTCAGCCTTGCACAGTGCAGGGATTATAGGTGTGAGCCACTGTGCTCAGCCAGATGTCAGTAGTCTTAATAGAATTCAAGGAAATTAGCAATCATTGTGAAGTAAAGTTACTTGTTACTTTTCTGACATTAACATAATCTCATAAAATAATTTCTTTGGATAAAACTCAAGCTTGCTCTTCCTGAGGTAAAATGAAGCATCACAACTATTTGGGATACTACTGAATCTTGCCCTTTTTTCCTCTATATTTTCTATTTCCTGGGATCTAGTAAGGATCAAACCAAGGTAAACTCTAGATTTATAGTCTTTTAAATACTTCAGAACGCTCTGTCGCTCACTCTTCTTTTTGTGGCACACCTATTGATTCACTGACACTACATACATTCTTCTCAATTTGAACCAAAGAGGAAAGACCTTAAAATATCTATTCATAAATATCTTGACACTAACATAAAATAAAATTGTCCATATTCAGCTGTGAGAGATTTTTAAAATTGCACAACCTGAAAGAAAAACATTTTTCCTGTCTACATTTTCTGTATAATTGCTTAAAACCAATAAATCCGAATGAAAAGTGATGACAAAAATATATTATTTTTAGTCTGCACCAACTGTCAGATTTTAAAATGTTTTCTATTTTCAGTTGATTTATTATTTTTTCTGGCATTAAGTTTTTTAGATACTCTTCTCATCCCAAAAAAGAAACGGGGAAAATGTATTTAATACCTATAGGTCTCCAGCTCTTCAGTGGCATGGCTGATCTTTTCGTCTACTTTAGAAAGTTTTTCTTCTTTCTCTAACCGGTAATTTTCCTCTACTGTTAATTTCCTTAAAGCAAAAAGAGTTTTAATTATTTTAATACATGTCATAAGACAATTCTATCTTTTTAATTGTACCAAAACTGGCAATTCCTGTAAAGTGATTTCTAAAATACCACTGAAAACATCACCTGCAAGGAAAAAAAAAAAAAAAAAAAGCACCTGTATAAATATTCCTGGAGTGGAATTTAATATTACAAACTCAAATTGTAAAGCACTATGTCTAATCCAGAACCACTAATGGTTTTCTACTATAATACTACTACTACTACAAGAGTTTTCTGTGTAAATTTATCTTGAAAATAGGACCAAAGATAAGTTTAATAAAAACTATTATGACTATCACTTTTCAAGCCTTTCTGTATAAACAAGCATTACATTTGCTAGTAAGAAGTCACCAATTAATAAAATAAAATTATGTTTCATTAACCTTTATACTGGTTAGTGATTAGGCTTCCAGGCAAGTATACACATACACATACATACACACACACACACACACACACACACACACACACACACACACACACA